ACCCCTAACTTAAAAGTGGTCTCTTCCTGGTGACCCCCATCTCACAGACTTTTGCTTTCCCTAGAACATCTTTACATGAGAAGAAGGAGAAATCCTGATCCCTCCCCCCTTCTTGTTGGCCCCTTCCGTTAGTATTTTCTCCGTTTCTCCTGCCTTTCGATACTGCTTTCTCCCCTCAGTTGCTCCCTTTTTCAGACATGCATTGTATATGCTAATGGTAGTCTTATGAAACCTTAGGTGGCGTTTTTTGTGGTTTCTGTGGTGGTAAAGAGAGGCATAAAACACTCTGATCTTTTGGGGGGAAATTCAGTCTTCTCTCTTTTTAGTGGGGCTTTTGGTCTGAGTAGCTGCGCCTGGTTGTATCTTCTCTTCCTGAGAGCCAGTTTGATGTAGTGGCTAAGTGCGCGGACTCTAATCTGGGAGAACCGGGTTTGATTCCCCACTCCTCCACTTGCACCTGGCTGGATGACCTTGGGCAAGCCATAGTTCTGGCACAGCTGTCCTTGAAAAAGGGCAGTTTCTGTCAAGAGCTCTCTCAGCCCCACCTACCTCACAGGGTGTCCGTTGTGGGGAGGGGAAGGGAAAGGCGTTTGTAAGCCGCTCTGAGACACCTTTGGGTAGTGGAGGGCAGGGTATACATCCAATCTCTCTCTCTCTCTCACCTTGGCTTTTCTCGGAAAACTCAGTCGTTTCCCATGTTAGTAAAAATACCCACCTTTTGGTAGTTGGCCCCACTGTGTGTATTTTTTTTAATCTATGCTCTGGGACCAAGTTTGGAATTAGAAATGTGTTGCCAGAAAAATGCAAAACCTTAGGAAATGATTACTCCTGGGTTTTTGCTAGGTTGTTAGTATTGATTTTGATAAACGTCAGACAAACAAAGATTGGGGGGGGGGCTGTATTTTTGCTTTTGTATGAGAAAAGAGTGAGATTTGTCAATAGATTACTTTTGTCTGTCAGTACCAGCCACTGTGCGTCCTCAGATCCTGGATCAAGTACAATAAAATTACTATGTCACTGCCAGCTGCAAAATGTGGCAAAGTTGTGGAGGTTTTAGGTGCTGGACAGAGTGCTGGGAAGTCACACCCTTGTATCCTGTCAGTTTGGAATTATTGGGTGGGATTCCGGTGCTGTTGCTGCTTATGGCACTGTATTATGATCGGTCGCTCACTCTGAATGGGGCTGCTTCATACTGCCTTTTGGGTAGGCGATGCATTAGCTGGTTATAAGCACAACTTTCCGTGGAGGTCTTCTTTAGTTTCAAGTTCTTCTCTGACATCTTCATTAGGCCAGTCTTTTGTGAGTCTTAACATGGATGTGGTGTTCTTTGTCTGGACTGCTAGCTGGAGAGAAACTTTTTACAGTTAGCCGAGTTTAGAAGGAAAATAAAGAGAAATGTAAGTTGGTGGAAGAGTAAAAGAAAAATAGTGGGGCTCCAGTTTTTTTTTAGAAAGTGTAGTTTCTGGATCCAGAAAACTACAAATTATTAGCCAGAGTTTTATTTTAGGTAAACTGGTGAAGAGTCCTGTCAAGCTAGAATGGTTGAAAAATAGAAGTCAGGCCTCACTGAGGAAGAATCAGCACAGTTTCAGCACGTTTTGCTTTACCAGCCTTTGAGAACCCTTCGAGTGTCAACAGGTAGAGAGGGAAGTGAGCCACGAGGCATCTTATACTAGTTAAAGAACAGAATCCAGGTGGTACGACTGGAGGGATCGTTCTCATAATGGAAGGCAGTAAATAGTACTGCGATCTAGTGTTCCCTCTAAGCTGAGCTAGTGTGAGCTAGCTCAGTTTTTTAGCCTCTGGCTCACACATTTTTGTCTCAGCTCAGGCAGGATGGCTCCAGAGCAAACTGATTTATGCAGCAGCCCAATCGCTCGCTCATAACTTTAATGCTAGTAGCTCACAAAGTTGCATTTTTTGCTCACAAGACTCCACAGCTTAGAAGGGAGCCTTGCCAGTGATTTTTGGCAGGGGTGTTAAGTACTGGCAAGCGGACCCAAGCTGTGTCCCATTCACACATACTGGAAATGCTCCTAATCTAAGTGAAATTATTTCGGACATTTGGGTGTAGGAGAAAACCCTCCAGTATTTAGGTGAGTTCAGGTGTCTGTTTTTGATTTCCCTGGCAATGGGAAGGGTTCAAGAAGGGAAAGTTGCTCGTTGATATGTGCACGACACAGATGTTGGGAGCACACAGCAGAGTTCCTGAAGTGGATGGAAGCTAAGGTCCCCCCCCACACACACAGAGAGAAAGACACTGTTTGAATAATTATTTTCTGTCTCTGAGAGAGCTGCCGATACAGAATCTTGGATCTAACCATCTTAACGTTATTGCTAAGAGCATGAAGCAACTGCACACTTCCTCAGTACAAAACCGTTAACTCACTAGGTGGTTCAGAACAGGTAAGAGAACTTTTTTCAATAGAAGACGAGTTGGCTTTTATATCCCACCTTCCTCTACCTTAAGGTGTCTCGGAGCGGCTTACAATCTCCTTCCCTTCCTGTCCCCACAACAGACACCTTGTGGGGTGGGTGGGGCTGAGAGAATTCTGAGAGAAGTGTGACAGGCCAAAGGCCAACTAGCAGGCTTCATGTGGGGGAGGACTGGGGAATCAAACCTGATTTTCCAGATTAGAGCCCGTTGCTCTTAACCGCTATGCCACGCTGGCTCTAAATCATTAATAACTCAGGATTCAGAACTGTGTAATTTATCGTAACACTCTTTACCTAACCTACCTCACAGGGCTGTTGTGAGGATGACATGGAGGGGAGGGGAGCCATGGAAGCTATGTTGGGTCCCCTTTAAGAGAAAGGCATGGTATAAATGTAGTAAATCAATAAGTGAACTGACTTGTTCACTATTAACATTTGGAACTTGTAAAAACTGTAGTGAAGCATCTGCCTGGCCTCTTCTGGAAGGGGGATGCTGAACTAGTTCTATCTTGGACCTGTTCAACGTGTTGGGTACCCTGATTGCTCAAGATGTCAAGGAACGGGGCCTTAGGCTTTCTCCCAGATTTGAGAAATCTTAGATTTCAACTTGTGTAAAGACCCAATACCCTGTTGTTATAGAAGCAGATTATTTGGTTAATCTTGTGTGTTGGTTTAGCTGTCAAGATTACTTTGTACTTTGTTTTAGTTCTGGGGTACTCTGCTGAGGTGGTGCGGTGGATGCAGGATGACAGAAACAGAACATCTGGGTTGAAAACAAAGCTAAGGCCCCTGTGTGCACTGCTGCCACCTCACACGGTCTCGATTAGGCTGATGCTTTGTGAAGGAAGGAAGGAAGGAAGGAAGGAAGGAAGGAAGGAAGGAAGGAAGGAAGGAAGGAAGGAAGGATACATTTTAGGAAAGGAATCAAACCCGATTTTCCAGATTAGAGCCCGTTGCAAACTTTTATTCCAAAAACGTTGCCACAATCCCTTACTAAAGTCTCAAGAGAATGTAGTAGCCATCGTATAAGGACATAGTATTTCAAACATGACTGAAAGAAAGAAAACCAGGGACCTGCTCAGTCTTACAGTAGGGTAAGAGACGGCACCCTGCCCTTTGGGAGCGCGTGCTCGGAGCCCACTTCAGCGGCTCCTTTCACATGTGTAATGCCTGCACATGAAGAACATCCAACAAGTATAGGCTCTATTCTGTAGCTAATTTCCATAATTCTTGTGGAATATCATTTGTGCGGCTTATGGGCCTAGGCATGCTGAACTCTTCATACCTGCACAAGGGACTCCTCCAAGCAATGCTCCCTCTAAGTTGTGGGGTCTTGTGAGCCAAAATTCTACTTTGTGAGCTACTGGCATTAAAGTGGTGAGCGAGCGATTTGGCTGCTGCATAAATTAGTGTACTCTGGAGCCCTCCTTCCTGAGCTAAGGCAAAAATGTGTGAGCCGGAGGCTAAAGAACTGCTCACACAACTAGCTCACACAAACTCAGCCTAGAGGGAAGACTGCCTCCAAGGGACTGGGACTGGAGGCAGGACCACCCAGTGGGGCAGGTGGGGCAGGCACGATCCCCTTCTTCACCATCCATACTTCCAAGTTCATCCGTTCCCAAGAGCAGGGGGTCAGCGGGTGCTCCTCAGATCTGCTGAATGCCTTGGGGGGCGGGAGGAGACTGAAGTGGGGACAGAAAATATGTTCATGATTCTTAAGTGCCTCAAGAATCTCTCCGGACTGGGCAAGAGGCCAAGGGAATGGCAGATGGGATTGAGTTACAACATAATGTAGTATTCGGGGGGGGGGGGGGTTCTTAACTAGAATTCCCTGAAAGGTTGTAATGACTGTAACTGATTGGGAGAAAGATTTTTGTGGTGGAAAGCTCGCAGAAAAAGCAGCACAGGGTATGTAGCAATGAGAAAGTCAATCGTGACGCAAAGTCTGTTTAGAGAAAGTGGTTATGACTCTATAGCGTCTGCATACCTATGGAGTTCTGTGTGGGACAGTTCTATCATATGAAAACAGGTGTAGAATCAGAGAAGCAGCTGAGATCATGCACTTTTTAATGGTGGGTCCTTTGTATTAACAAAAATGACTAGGGAACTTGAGTATTCCATAATCAACATATATATAAAGCAGCTGGAAAAAGTATTAATAGTTGAATCTTTCTTAAAGGCGAGAGCTTAGAATTGTCTACTGACAGGCAGAAAGTAACAGGCTTAAAGATAAAATGGAGTATTTTTGTCATACATGGGGGGAAAAACTGCCATAGGCTGTTGAATCACTAGTGTGAGTTTTTAAAGGGTCGGACAAATATGTCCAGGACAGCTGTTTTTTAAAAAAGCCATGATAGCCAGAAATCACCCTATGTATTAAGGGGTAGCTCATCTCTTGCCTTCCAAATGCTGGGGGCCATTGGGGCGGGGGGGGGGGCGGGTCAGCTTCACTGAGGTGACTTCTGGTGGACGATGCTTTGTCTGGCTGCAGCACAGTGGCGAACTTCTGCTCCTGAATCTCTGCATTTGATTACACAACCTGTGCTCTTTCTTTCCATTGTTAGGTATGGAAGAACGAACAGGTGCTGCATCTTGGGGAGCAAGTGGTCAGTCCAGCCCTACTTACGAACCTACAAGGGTAAGAGTATAGTTTTACCATTGATTACATGCAGATACAGGAGTGGCTGCAGACAGGCCTTTGAGCATGTGTTAAAGAGACAGACACTCAGTATGATCTGTGAGTGGCTGCTGATGCAGAAACTGAAAGTGATCTGTCATCTAGCAAAGAAGTGTGTCACAGCAGGGTTGTTGTACCTGGTAACTGCCTTCTTAGCGTTGTTGACACTGCAGTGGTAAGTATTCTGCACTCTGTAGATGATCAGTAGTGTAGTACCTATCCTTACTTCAACAGATTATAAACAGAAGATGGCAATTGCTTACTAGAGCAGACCTGATTTTCACACTGACATGTTATAAATAAAAATGATCTTCTCAGCTTCAGTGAAGCAGAATGGCTCCTTGGGAGGGATGTGCCTGCGCGGCTTAGTCTTGCTGTCGGCTGCAGAAGGCACAGAACCGCAAAGGAAGTAGCCGCACAGCTTATAAGGGGAAAGCCCCCCGCTCCACCCAGCTCAGTCCAGGGCCTGTATTGGGAGCTCCAGGTCTGCACCACACACACTGTTTTGCCACTTGAAATGACACGGTGCTGTAAATGTCTCTGCCACCCTGACGCCGCCGAGGTTCCTCCTTGAAAATGAAGTTGTTAATTTTTCTGCCTCAGCTGAATTCTGCTCCTGTAAGATTGTAAGCAGGAAGGGCGGTTTTGTCCAAGAAAGGGGGAGCTGGCCACAGCCAGGCCTTACCTGAGTGATCAGGAGGCCACTGCAGTGTGGTGCCCAGGGAGGAGCGCAACAGTCACATCCGCCCTGAAGGTTTCGTGACAGCCTTCAGAGGCTCCCGGTTCCTGGTGAGCCCCGGGGGCTGTCGGAGGAAGACGGTGCGGTCTCAGGAGCCACAGTTGTCAAAGGAAGGCAGCGTGGCTGATGGACAGCCCTGGCCCTTCACTGGGTTTACCCCAGATACAGCTTTTGCTTGAGTGCAGTGTTATGGCAGTTGCATCACTGGCCGTAATTTCCCAGGATGGGCTACTAGGGCCAGCCTATCGGAGTAGAATAATTGGTGCATTTAAGGCAGGCCCCTTTTTGTTGCCTTGTGAGTTCCTGTCCTTACCATAAGAAGAAGAAGAGTACGGGACATGCAAGAAACAGTGCAGTTGGGTTTGGGCTGCAGAAATCCGAAACAGACCTGAAACGAAACACGTGACCTCTTAAGAGAAGCAGCAGTTACATAGTAGGATCAGACGTACATGAACAGGCAGTACATACTGTACGCAGTCGTGATGTCTGCAGTCCCTGTTCCTTTACCAGAGCATCTTTCTGAACCATTTAATTAAAGTGCAGCCCTATAATCCATGTAAAAAAGCCCTCCTGAATAGTTCAGTTTCACATCGTTTGCGGAAAGCCAGGAGAGGGGAGTCTTCCTAACCATGACTTACGTTTTTAATGTCTTGCATAGTTCATATATAATCTGTTGCCTGTTCTTGGCTCTTTACAGTAATACAGACAGGCCTTTCCCTTTTCTGATTCCATTTTGTGGGGATACTTGTCGTCCTTTCCCCCCCCAGTCAGATGTGGTTTGAGAGGCTTGCACAGAACGGCTTTGCCTGGTGTACCTGGGAGTCATACGCGCGAAACTCCTGCATCCAGCCAGCCTGTGTGGAGAAGCAGGAGACTCCCGTGTGACAGGGGATGCTGGGACAGATCTGTTGATGAGTCCCGGTTGCCCTTCCTCTGCCCGCCCTGTCTCCTTCACAGCCTTCCCTTGCCGCTCCTCAAGCTCCTTCAAGGCCCCACTGCTCTCAGCCCCGCCCAGGCCTTCAGGTCACCTTCTCAAATCTGGGAGGAAGTTTGAGACCCCGATTCTTGGCATCTGAGCAATCGGGGCAATGCTCCCTCTAAGCTGTGGAGTTTCGTGAGCAAAAATTCTACGTTGTGAGCTGCCGGCATTAAAGTTGTGAGCGAACGGTTTGGTTATCACATAAATCACTTTGATCTGGAGCCATCCTTCTTGAGCTAAGACAAAAATGTGTGAGCCAGAGGCTAAGAAACTGTGAGCTGGCTCACACGAACTCAGCTTAGAGGGCACACTGGTCAGGGGTCTGCGCATGTTAAGGGTGGCAGCTCTGATAAGCCTTATAGCCAGCGAGCCATCGGCGCAGGTTCACAGAACTGAAACTCCTTCCGCAGTAAAGTCTTCTGCTCCAAGAAATGTCGGGGAGGCTCGCCAGTCAGTTGAGCAGCCACCTATTGACAGCTGACTGCCGATCGTCAGACGGCGGTCAAAAGAAGGCCACTCTGTGTGCGCGCTTAATTCATTATTGTCATTTGCTGGCAGAGGCGGCTTGCTCTCTGTTTTTGAGATCTGCCTTGCTGTCAGCAGCTTCCGAGGTGGCTGCCACCTGAAAAGAGCACTAAAGACATTTGAACGGATAATTGGCCACAAGCAACATGGGTGCAAACCAATCAGTCCCTGAAACCAGCAAGCTCCTATGAAATGTCAGACAAATAAGAATTTCCTTACATTGAGTCAGGCCATTGGTCTGTCGAGGTCAGCAGTGTCTGGGTCTCACCAGGGCCTCAGGAAGAGAAAGGTCTTTCCTAACATCTCCCACTTCAGATCTTTTGGTTGGAGATGGCTCGAAATCCCGTAACCGAACCTTTGGTCATTTGGCTCCTTTGAAGTGGCTCCTCTGAGGCACGGCCCCTCCTCCCTTTGTGGGGACAGCCTGCTGCGCTTCACTTTGGTGGCAGACAGTAAAAGCCATCCCTGTCCTTTGGAGTTGAACCAGGAATCCAACGGACAAGCAATACAGTGTACAGAACTCGGAAGATGCCTGGCAGCTCATGCCCCTCAGCAGTTACATTTGGTGAAGTTGTGGCTTCTAAGCAGCCCACAGAGGCTGACCCACCTGGAGCGAGTGACCCCTTCAGCTGTCCAGCCTTGCGTCTTTCGGGGCACAGCCAAGCTTCTTGGCCACCTGCTGCAATCGCAGGCATTGTGGCTTGCTTGGCACAACTGTCCTTTAAAAGCGGATTCCTTTGCTTTTTAATAGCTGCTGTGTTAGCTTATTTGATTTAGATTTTAGTTTTATTTTGTAATGAATCGGTTGCTTCTTCGTGTGTCTTTGTAATTAGCATCAGTGTTAATCGTGGTGATATTCACTTACCTCTGTGGTTCTAATGAAGTTTTATACTGTAAAAGTAATTGGCCAGTGTTTGACAGTTCAGTTGATTAGATCTTTGTGGACTGGAAGGGAAACTGTGGATACCTCTCGGCCCGATGACCGAAGGGAACACAGCCACTGTCAATTAATTAATGGTCTCTCAAATGGCAGAATCAGCCTGCAGGCCTCTGAGATGCCAGGCGTGCCTCGGCCTCTGTTTCTTAGACTGAGGAATGTGTAGGGCGGTGCGTGCTCTTGTGGCTTAGCGCTCACTTCGTCAGACAAAGTGAGCTCTGGCTCAGGAATGCTCACGGCAGAGTCAGGGTTAAGTTGCAGCGGCATGGTGGGGATTCTCTGGTGTGGCAGAGGCATTTGCAGCACAAATGGAGCATCTGCAGGGTTGGTTGAGGAGTGAGTTCCCTTCCCTGCTCCAGCTGTTTTGCAGCTGCTCCTCCACACTCCTTTTTAGGCAATCTGCACAGACCACCTGCACTTTCCCCCTTATATCTCCACAACAAAATAGGCCAGAGACTTGCTTTAAAAGAAATGAAGGTGGGCAATCGAGAGGAAATGCAGTAGGTCATGACAACAGAGTATAATAATGCTACTGTGCAATAGCAGTTACTTATTGAAAAAAAATTCAGGTGGTGTAGTTGAGGGAAAGCCCTTGACAGAAGGAAAACTGCATTAATCTTTCAGGTGCCCAAAGGCGCTTGTTGGTCGTGCAACTTCCTTTCCAGAACTAGTGCCTGCCTTGGAAAGAATAGTTCCCCTGATATCCACAGTACTTCAAATAATAAATGAGCCAGAATTCTAACATCTAAAAATAGTATGTCGTTACAAAACAGTAGGAATCCATATGGCATAATGGTTGGTGGTACTGTAACTGCTAAAACATGTATCTAAGAAAACGTTGTAATGACAGTTCATTATGCGAAGTAGTTATATTCCATGACCTTTGTGGGGGATTGAAAGGTACTCATCCAAGAAAATTTTCTTTGAAAAAACCTAGGGTTAGGGTTAGTAAAAGATTCCAGTAGCTCAACACACACTCCCAAGTATGAGGAAGGCATGTTTAGATCAGTTTACTCCTGGAGAAGTTTAACTTTCCCCCAGCTGCACATGCTCCCCTCCCCAAGGAGTTTTCTTAGCGAGTGAAGGGCACGTACCTTGTTTCTCCACATATATTAGCTGAAGTCTTTCCTCCCCTTGCCTCAACACCTCCCCCCACCCCAGTTCCAAGTGCAGGGTTGGCCTTGCTTGCTTTGGAGCTTTCCTGCAGGAGGAGGGCTGTGAGGGTGTGTGTAGCGGTTAACAATGTGGTGTAGTGACAGATTCTGATCTGGGAGAACCGAGTTTGATTCCCCACTCCTCCTCCCCATGATCCTGCCGGGTGACCTTGCGCCAGTCACGGTTCTCTCAGAACTCTCTCAGCCCCACCTACCTCACAAGGTGCCTGTTGTAGGGAGATGAAGGGAAGATGATTGTAAGCCGTTTGGAGACTCCTTTGGGCAGAGAAAAGCAAGGTATAGAAACGTGCTCTTCTTTCTCGTCTTCATACACAAGGCTGGGCGTAATATTTAATTTGGTCCCAAATGAGATTTGGTGCTCCAGCTGGACCTGCTCCCTTCCCTTTTGGCTTCAAAACAACATTTTCTATAAAAGCAGAATCAAGTTCAGATTCAAGGTGGAGTATCAGTTTTGTGTGTGGTTCTCAGATTCTTCCCACGCTCTGTCTTTGCTGAGAAAAGACGGCCTTCTGCCTTGGCTCTTAAGGGACTCAGACGTCTTATGCCGAGTCCTGGGACACCAGTCCTGTTTCCTCCCAGCAGCTTTTCAAGCTAAGGACAATCCAGGGACAGAGTGCATGGCCAATTCCAGTGAAGGAGCATTCTGACCATGCCAAGCACCGGATCCTCCTCCTGCGCCATTTGTGCAGGGACTCTGCCCGAGAACACAGTACCATATTTTGTTGGAAGCTTAAGCCCAGAGTAATCTTGCCTGTGGAGGGGAGGGGGACAGGAGAGTGTGTTTGCCCAGCTCTCTGTTGCGATGTCATCTTGCAAGTCTTTCCCATGTAGGGCTGCAGGGAGGGAGACAGGGGTTAGGGTTAGCCTGGGTCCTCCGGCAGGTGTCCTCTTTGGGGCCAGGTGACTACTTCAGGCATGAAGAAGAATAAGAGAGTGGATTCATACCCTGCCCTTCACTACCCAAAGGAGTCTCAGAGCGGCTTACAAACGCCTTTCCCTTCCCCTCCCCACCACAGACACCCTGTGGGGTAGGTGGGGCTGAGAGAGCTCTGACAGAAATGGCTCTTTTTCAAGAACAGCTCTTGTCAGGACTACGGCTTGCCCAAGGTCATCCAGCAGCTGCAAGTGGAGGGGTGGGGAATCAAACCTGGTCCTCCCAGATTAGAGTCCGCGCACTTAACCACTGCACCAGACTGGCTCTCTTGAACTCTTGTGGCTGGAGTGAAAGGGGCGGCTGGAGTGTGGAAGGGTGCGCTGGTGTTGCCTCAGACCCATCCAAGCACACGGGGAGTGGGCAAACGCCCCCACGCCTGGGAGGCACCACCTGTCGTCTGTGCAGGAGCAGACCCCAGATTGTAGGAAACACGACTCAAAGAAGATCCAATGGGCTGGCAGCCGTGTTCAATAGAACGTAATTATCCAAGACCAAAGTTACATCGCTTAAAATGTGATGATGGATGTTTGCTTTTTAAATCCTGCCCTAACAGGTTCTGAATATTTCCTCACTTACAGGAAAACGGCAGTCTCCTTGGGAAAACCTCGGATCTCTCAACGGCCCTTGAAAAGCTGAAACATGAGGAGGTGGGACGTGTTTCTTGTGTGCCAAAATTTGATTGCAGATCCCCCCCCCCCCCCGAACTGTATAAGCTACCAAACCTGTGGCTCTCCTTCTATCAGATGGTATCTCTGGAAGGTGGAACAGGTGTGTTAGATACCTGGAAGGGGCCGATTGTGTGTGCAGAGTTCTGGTGAGGGTGAAGATATGCTGCAGGGAGACACTTTTTCCTCCCAGGTTTTGTTTGCAGCCACCATGCTGCTCAGCTGCAGAGCCCAAGGGAGCTTCTGTCCACAGGAGCACCTCCTGCCTGCCTGCCTGCCTGCCTGCCTGCTAGGGTTCCCTCTCAGCTGAGTGAGTGTGAGCTAGCTCACAGTCTTTCAGCCTCCAGCTCACAGATTTTTGGTCTTCGCTCAGGAAGGAGGGCTCCAGAGCAAACTTAATTTATGCAGTAGCCAATTTGCTCGCTCACAACTTTAATGCCAGAAGCTCACAGAGTAGAATTGTTGCTCACAAGACTCCACAGCTGAGAGGGAGCATTGCTGAGTGCCTGCCTGGTTTTAGGGGGAGTGTTTTGTGCCCTGCTGCAGGCCGCCCCCCGCCTTTTAATGCCAGTGTTTTGTTGGTGCCCCAGCCCAAAGATCTCTCTGCTGTTTGAAGGAGGCCGGATATGTACAGCCAAGTGTGGGGTCTCACTGTGGGCACTCCCTTGACCTTACAAGAGGAACTGGCCTCTTTATCCCACAGTTTCTAAGCCTGCTCTGGAGTCTTTGGCAGGGTACCTTCTCAGAGGCCTTTTGGCAGACTGGAGCACCCTCGTCCACATACTTCTCCTTCTCTGAGAACTCCAAAAGTTTGATGAGGCAGGACTTCTCTTCATGTACTGAGCGTCTCTGCTGTGCAAAGATGCTCTTCTGTGCTAACAGCCCTAGATTTGCGTTAGTGGTACTTTCAGTACCCAAATGAGTTTTCACGGCAGAATCCCCACTTCTGATTTTTAGCCCCTAGCTTCTCTCCCCACTCGCCGGTTTCTGACCCTTTGAGTAGAGGCTGGATGAGTTTTGTATTCTGCACTCTGGCAGATGCATTTGCATTTACAAGCTGCTGCTACTTGAGTAATCATCTCTCACTCGACAACACACGGTATAAGGCATATAGAAAACGGAGTGCTTATTTTTAGTGGCACGTTGCAAGGCTTTCTGAGCATGAAATGCAAAGCATGCCCAGCAGCCAGGTTTGCTTGTTTTTTTGTACGTTGTTTCATACAACACTTTTGGGAAATGGCCCCGTTAGAGCCTTTGCCCCTCATCCTTCACTTTTGCCACCTCTGCGTTTAAGTGTATAAAACCAGACTGCGTTGCATGAGCTGTACTAACTCAGCCTGGCCAGTGGAGTTTTCTTGAGTATTACAGCAACGCAAAGGCTTTTCTTTAGGATCTTGGAAGCTGTTATAGATTTGCCACTCTCTTCTGCATGAGGGCATGTGAACTTTGAGAGCAGTGATTTATTACTTTGGGTAATTAGCGATGCATCTCTTTGGTATAAAATCTGGCCACTGGAGCACTCCTCCTTTCTAGATATGTTCTGTGTAAAATATTTTGTTCAGCCACTGTCTTCTAATAGCGTGCTGCTGTTCAACATAAAGCAAACTGCAGCAGTGACCTTGGCTAGGAGCGTCTGGTTTCCTGGGCAGCTGCTGCTACGCGCTGTCTGTCTGACAGACGAGGCCAGGTCATGGTTACCAGAGGACACCCTTGTGGTCATAAGCAAGTTGTAAATGTCACTAAGATTTTTTCAGGATGTCTATCACATGTGTATCACTGATTCCGAAGTAAGTAAAGTGAGTAATCTTCTGGGGCTCCCAGAAGATGAATGCTAAGGCAGTATAGCGGAAAGCTGTGACATGCATCCATAAACAGTGGCAGGAATTTGACAGATATTTAGCCCTTAGTTACTAGCCCTTTGGCTGAACTGACAGCACGCCTGCAAAGGTAGTGAGGAGGCCTGTTTCAGCCCCATTAATGTCGCCCTGAATGCAAGCCCATAGTCTGGAAAATGATAAATGTTCAGTGATTGATGACTTTAGAGTCCCTGGGGGATTCTGGGGGGTTTCTCATTGCCCTGGGCCTCCTCAAGCCCCTCTTATAGAAGTTCCTTAGGCTTCGGTGCAAAGTCTTTTAAAGAAAGCAAGGCATTTTAAGCAATAGTTCAGTGAAGAGTTACAAAATTTGAGTTTAGTGCTGTGAGCAAGATGTTTAATTAAACTCAGTGGAACGTTCTTTTCTCCCTCTCCCAACCTGTGGTGTTGGAAAAAAATACCTTAAAAAAAAAAAACCCTCACAGAGAGGAAATTGAATAATAGTGATAACAGAGTACTTTGTGCTTTTTCCAAGCCTTCTCTTTATATGGTTCCTTTGCTTTATTGTCAAATATGGACTAAATATGTTACTGATTTTATCTGTTATTAATTTCCTGTTTTCCCATTTTGTTGTATTCTAACAGCTGTATGGTTTTTATCCTGAGCCCTTCGGGGGAGGGCGGTCTATGAATGTAGATGATGATGATGTTGTTGTTATGGCTTCCATTCCTAGGTTTAACCAAAAACTGATATTGGAATGCAAGCCTTTTTTCTTTTGGCTGGACAGATGGTAGGAGTGGGCTCTCAGTTTAATCCTTTGAAGCCGGCACTCTCCTGTTCTTAGGCCCCCGTTAGCGTTCATAGAAGGGGACGGCAAAGGATGGGATGGTCAGACAGTGTTATCGATGCAACGAACATGAAATCGAGCAGACTTCAGGGCACGACGGAAGACAGGGGGGCCTGGCGTGATGTGGTCCATGGGGTCGCGAAGAGTCGGGCTCGACTGTGCGACTGAACAACAACAAAAAGTGTTTATAGCAGTTCAGAGTTTCATAGCGAAAAGGCCCATTGCTGCCCCCAAATGAATTTACAGCTCAGGGTCTGACTACAGGGGAGGGAGGGGAGAGGTCAAAATAGTGAACGATGAATGTCACCCCAGTGCAGTTAGAGGCATTTAGGCATGGCCCAGGAGGGGGTTGGTGATGGGGCATGTATGTACATATGCTCACAGGTTGTCGCTAGGGAGAAGGCAGGAGCAGTCCTTGCGCTCGGGGGATCTTCTTCCATTGGGAGAAGGTAACAACCCTGCAAGGGAGAAGGCAGGAGCAGTCCTTGCGCTTGGGTGATCTTCTTCCATTGAGAGAAGGTAACAACCAGACAGGGAAGCGCCCTGTAGATTTGGATGGAGGGCCTCTCTGGCCACCTGTGGTTTTATTCTCCAGGGCCAGGGGATTCTGCTTTCAGATCCGTGTGAGGGCTTCACTCATTTCTGGCCTAAGAGGGGGGAGAGGGGAGCCCATGGCGAGTGTAGGAGCCTAGACTTTCCCTTCAGATCCCACCTTAGAAGGATTCACACTGGTAGTTTTTCTGCCACCGCCAATAACTTCTGGGGCATCTTGCTTGTAAGGGTAGATGGGGCTCGGCTTTATTCCTGAGAAAGGACTAATTATTAAATGGTGTTATTGGTCTTTTTGCAGGCTCATCATTTCACAGTCCAGTTTA